AAAAAAAAAAAAAAAAAAAAAAAAAAAGAACAAGTGGAATATAAAAGAGAAGAGTCAAGTATTGAAAGGTTAGGTAAGCACAAGAACAGTTTACATTGACTGAAATGGGGAAGCTTATAGGAGAAGCCAGTTTGGGTCAGGAGAAATCAAGAGCTTAGTCTTGAACATGTTATGTTTGACATGCCTATTACATGTCTATAACACTACAGAGCAGACACTGAGTGCCTCCCCCATATCCCCTTGGGTCTGACCATTTCAGTGCTTGCAGGACTGACCTTTAGCTGCTAGTCTCTGTCTCTTTGCCTCTGTGCGTTCTCTAGCCACTGGAGCCTACTCTGCATGCATGGTAGCCCAGAAGTACAGAATGCGCTTCCTGGTGGAGTGGCCAGCAACCACTGACTGGCAAGAGCTGATGTAAAAATACTTCAGCTCTCTCACTCTCCTCACAATAAAATTAAGGCCTGATAATGCTTGGCAGGATTCACTGGACACCTGGTTAACCCTTTATGGGCTGCCTTTCTTGTCTCACTTCCTCATCCCTCTGCTAGGGTTTTCTAGGATCACGTCCCTCATAAACTGCTTGCACTTGAACCTCTGCCTCAGAGTTTGCCAGATATGAACAGACACTTTACAAAAGAAGACGTATATGAGGCCAACAAACATGAAAAAATGCTGATCATCACTGGTCATTAGAGAAATGCAAATCAAAACTATTGAGATACCATCTCACGCCAGTTAGAATGGTGATCATTAAAAAATCTGGAGACAACAGATGCTGAAGAGGATGTGGAGAAACAGGAACACTTTTACACTGTTGGTGGGAGTGTAAATTAGTTCAACCACTGTGGAAGAAAAAGTTTGGCGATTCCTCAAGGACCTAGAAATAGAAATTCCATTTGACCCAGCAATCCCATTACTGGTTATATATCCAAAAGATTATAAATTGTTCTATTATAAGGACACATGCACACGAATGTTCATTGCAGGACTGTTTACAATAGCAAAGACTTGGGACCAACCCACATGCCCATTGATGATAGACTGGACAGGGAAAATGTGGCACATATACACCATGGAATACTATGCAGCCATAAAAAACAATGAGTTCGTGTCCTTTGTAGAGACATGGATGAACCTGGAAACCATCATTCTCAGCAAACTGACACAAGAACAGAAAATCAAACACTTCATGTCCTCACTCATAGCTAAATGTTGAACAATGAGAACACGTGGACACAGGGAGGGGAACATCACACTCTGGGGTCTGTAGGGGGGAACTAGGGGAGGGACAGCAGGGGATGGGGAATTGGGGAGGGATGACATGGGGAGAAATGCTAAATATAGGTGATGGGGAGGAAGGCAGCAAACCACACTGCCATGTGTGTACCTATGCAACAATCTTACATGTTCTTCACATGTACCCCAAAACCTACAATGCAATCATATATATGTATATATATATGATTATATATACATTATATATATATGTGTGTGTGTGTGTGTGTGTGTGTGTGTATATATATATATAAAGAGAATGAGGGAAAGATGTCTAACACTAGAGGGGGAAGTGGAGTCAAGAGAGGCTTATTTTGTGAATCTTTTTTTTTTAGATGGAGTCTTGCTCTGTTGCCAGGCTGGAGTGCAGTGGCGTGATCTCCGCTCGCTGCAACCTCCGCCTCCCTGGTTCAAGCTGATGTAGGCAGGGGCTTGATCACGGAGAATCTTCCTCAGCCTCCCGCCTCAGCCTCCCAAGTAGCTGGGACTACAGGGTGTGACACCACACCCAGCTAATGTTTTGTATTTTTAGTAGAGACTGGGTTTCACCATGTTGGCCAGGATGGTCTTGATCTCTTGATCTCGTGATTCACCCACCTCGGCCTCTGAAAGTACTGGGATTACAGGTGTGAGTTACTGTGCTTGGCCTGTAATTTTTTTTATATAACTTTTTTTTTTTTTTTTTAAAGCCTGCCGTGGTGGCACATGCCTGTAGTCCACAGCTACTTGGGAGACTGAGCCGGGCGCATTGCTTGAGCCTAGGACTTCAAGTCTAGCTAGCTTGGGCAACATAGCAAGACCCTGTCTTTAAAAACAAAACCAAAACCAAAAAACCCACACACATATAACCTTTTTATGTTTAACATATATCATACAAAAAATGTGTAACAACCATAAGTATTCATTTCAATGAATTTTCCACACTGAAAAGACCCTTGTAAGCACCACCAACATCAAGACAGGGAATATTTCTGGTACTCAGAGTGCTCCCCCCACTCGCTCATCCTTCATTCTATTCACTACATCCTCAAGTGTAAACTGTATCCTTGCTTCTAATACTGTAGATTGCTTTTGACTGTTTTAAACTTTACAAAAATGGAATCATCCAGTATGTATTCTTTTGTCTTACTTCAGTTGTCCAATATTAAGTCTGTGAATACCATCCATACTATTTTATGTAGTTTAGATGTTTCATGCTCATTGGCACATATGTAGTAATTCATTGTATGAATGTACCACAATTTATCCATTCAACTGTTGATGATGTGACTAGTTTCCAGTTTGGGGCTATTATGAATAATATTGCTGTGAACATTCTAGTAAAAGTCTTTTGGTAAACTTTTTTTTTTTTTTGAGGCAGGGTGTTGCTTTGCCACCCAGGCTGGAGTGCAGTGGCACAATCACAGCTCATTACAACCTTGACTTTCTGTATTCAAGCGATCCTCCCACCTCAGCCTCTGGAGTAGCTGGAACCACAGGGGCATGCCATCATGCCTGGCTAATTTTTTTAATGTTTTGTAGATATGGGGCCCTGCTATGTTGCCCAGACTGTTCTCAAGCTCCTGGGCTCAAGCAATCCTCTTGCCTCGGCCTCCCAAAGTGTTGGTATTACAGGTGTGAGCCCCTGAGCCTGGCCTGTATGTATCTTTACTGGGGACATTTTTAGTGTACGTTTTTTTTTAAATGACTTTTGGGGTACAAGTAGTTTTTGGTTACAAGGATGAACTGTATACTGGTGAAGTCTGAGATTTTAGTGCACCAATCACCTGAGTAGTGCACGTCGTACCCAATATTTAGCTTTTTTTTTTTTTTTGTCATTCAAAAACTTTAATGCTCAGTTTTCACAAACATAATCAAGTCTATCAAATTTCCAGATTTACAGCAAAATGTAGGAGCTAAAATTTAAAAAGTATGCTTTCTTCATTCTTCAGTTTCTCCTGTACTTTTTTTGTTTTTGGCCTATCCTTCAAAACTGAGCACTGGGTATTTTTAACATAAGCCATGTCATATGTACAGTTTATGTTTCAGGAATAAATGAAATCCATGATTTTTCAGTAACTCATAGTGTATTTATAAAATGAAAAGCTCTCTATCAAAATACACTCTTCACTGGGAAAAATAAATAAAATAGACAAATGGATCTACACAAAGTAAACATTAACTTTGGTAGATTTCAGTGTAGTTCATAACAAGCATATTTGCCCTTATTCCCCTAGAGCTGTTCAACTACAACGAATTTTTAAAATATTTAACTAAGATTTTATTATGTTGATACTTATTTCTCATTCCACGTCATCAGCCAAGCGCTGAGCACTTACAATTCTCTGACTAATCGTTGGGAGCTTAGTCAGAAGCATCTGGAACACTGGTGGTGGAAGAGTTTGCTGTAATAACTGCTGCGGCTGTCCACACACAGCAATTGCATTCGTCGGATGGTGTATTTCCTTCTCATATTCACCTTGAGCTAGTAATTCTTCACCAAGTTGTATTTCTTCAAGGAAGAATTTCTGAACAGCTTCAGCATCTTTAAGGTCAGGTAACCTGGAAAGCCCAGCTGTCTCCTTGGCAAGCTTCTGTTTCTTTCTTTGTTCTCGAAGCCTGTTCTTAAAGTTGGGGTCACTTCGTCTTTTGCGTCGAAGTAGATGCAGTACCCGATAAAAAGTGTCCCACATACACCGGCGGCGATGGCACTGTTCCGACCCAGCATCTTTGCAACACGGAGCGTGAGCGATGGCTGCAGGGACAGCGAAGGAGCAGTGGGCCACAAACCCTCAGAGCGGAGGGCGCAGCTCACACCTGAAGCCCGCGGGCCAGAGACTCGGAAAGCCCAATACGTAGTTTTTAATCCCTCACCCCCACCCACCCTACCCCTTCTACGTCTCCAAAGTCCATGCCTTTTCATACCCATAGCTTAACTCTCATTTATAAGTAAGAACAAACAGTATTTGATTTTCCTTTCCTGAGTTACTTCACTTAGAATAATGGCCTCAAGCTTTATCCAAATTGCTGCAAAACACATTATTTCATTCTTTTCATGGCTGAGTAGTCTTCTATGGTGTATATACCACATTTTCTTTATCTGCTCATTGGTTGGTTGGCACTTAGGTTGGGTCCATATCTTTCCAATTGTGAATTGTGCTGCAATACATATGTACGAAGGTGTTTTTTGATATAATTACTTATTTTCCTTTGGGGAGATACCGAGTAGTGTGATTGCTGGATCAAATGGAGATACCCAGTAGTGTGATTGCTGGCAGATTTAGATTTAGATTTACTTTTATATTTTAGATTTAGAAATCTCCATTCTGTTTTCTGTACAGGTTGTACTAATTTACATTCCCACCAGCAGTGTATAAATGTTCCCTTTTCACCACATTCATGCTATCTGCTGTTTTTTGACTTTTTAATAATGACTATTCTGGCTGGGGTAAGGTGGTATCTCACTGTGGTTTTAATTGCATTTTTGTGATGATTAGTGATGTTGAGCATTTTTACATGTGTTTGTTGGCCATTCGTGTGTCTTCTTTTGAGAAATACGTCTTCATATCGTTTACCTACTTTTTCATAAAGATCTTTGTTTCTAATTTGTTTGAGTTCCTTGTAATTAGTTCTTCGTTAGATGCATAGTTTGCAAATATTTCTCCCATTCTGTGGGTTGTCTGTTTGCTCTGATGATTATTTTTTCTGCTGTACACAAGTTTTTCAGTTTAATGAGGTCCCATTTATTTGCTTTTGTTTGTGTTGCATTTGTTTTGGGGGTCTTAGTCATAAATTCTTTACCTAAGTCAATGTCCAGAAGAGTTTTTCCTGTATTTTCTTCTAGACTTTTTGTGGTTTCAGGTCTTAGATTTAAATCTTCAATCCAAATTGAGTTGATTTTTGTGTAAGGTGAAAGATAGGGATCCAGTTTTTTTCTCCCACATGTGGCTATTCAGTTTTCTCAGCAACATTTATTAAATAGGATGTGATTTCCCCAATTTATGTTTTTGTATGCTTTGTTGAAGATCAGTGAGTTGTTAGTTAAAAAGAAAGAATAAAATGTAGGAGTCTTTTGAAGGAATCTTTAAGAGTTTTCTATATATGATCATATCATCATCAAACAGTGATAGTTTGACTTCCCCTTTTCCAATTTAAATGCCGTTTATGTCTTTCTCTTGCCTGATTGCTCTGGTTAGGACTTCCAGTACTATGTTGAATAGAAGTGATGAAAGTGGGCATTCTTGTCTTGTTCCAGTTCTCAGGGGGAATGCTTTCAACTTTACCTCATTCTGTATGATGTTGGCTTTGGGTTTGTGATATATGGCTTTTATTGTTTTGAGGTATGTTCCTTCTATGCCTAGTTGGTTGTCAATGTTTTTGTCGTAAGACAATGCCAGATTTTGTCATGACATTGTTTTTGTCATGCTGGGTTTTACTGAATGCTCTTTCTGCATCTATTAAGATAATCGTATGGTTTTGTTTTTAATTCTGCTTATGTGATTTATCATATTTATTGACTTGCATTTGTTAAACCATCACTGTATCTCTGGGACAAAACCCATTTGACATAATGTATTACCTTTTTGATTTGCTATTGGATTCTGTTTGCTAGTATTTTGCTGACTTTTGCATCTAGTTCATCAGGAATATTGATCTGTAGTTTTCTACAAGTATTACAGAGATTTCCTGAAGAGGCTCATTCTGAGGCTCACCTTGAAAGATCATCAGGGGTTAATGACGAGTATATTAAACCATTCTTGCATTTTTATAAAGAAATGTCTGAAATTGAGTAATTTTTTTTTCCCAAGATGGAGTCTTGCTTTGTTATTCAGGCTGGAGTGCAGTGGCACGACCTAGGCTCATAGCAACCTCCGCCTTCTCTGGGCTCAAGCAATTTTCCTGCCTCAGCCTCCCAAGTAGCTGGGATTACAGGCACCCATGATGGCACCTGGCTAATTTTTGTATTTTTAGCAGAGATTGAGTTTCATCATGTTGGCCACGCTGGTCTTGAACTCCTGACCTTGTGATCCACTCGCCTCAGCCTCCTGAAGTTCTGGGATTACAGGCATGAGCCACTGTGCCTGGCTGAAATTGAGTAATTTGTAAGAAAACAAGGTTTTGTTAGCTCATGGTTCTGCAGGTTGTACAGGAAGCATGGTGGCATCTACTTCTTCAGACGCCACAGAAAGTTCCAATCATGGTGGAAGGTGGAAGGTGGAAGGCACATGTACTTTGAAAGCAGGAGCAAGAGTTGGGGGAGCATGCCACAAGATCTGGTCACTTTCAAAGGACCAGATCTCATGTGAACTCAGAGCGAGAGCTCACTTATTACTAAGGAGATGGCCCAAGCCTTCATGAGACATCAGCCCCCATGATCCAAACACCTCCCACCAGACTCCTCCTCCAACATCGGGGATTACATTTTAATGAGATTTGGGTGGGGACAAATATACAAACTATATCAATGAGAAAAGAACAAGAGTAAAGAATGGGGAAGGAGAGGCCGGGCGCGGTGGCTCAAGCCTGTAATCCCAGCACTTTGGGAGGCCGAGGCGGGTGGATCACAAGGTCAAGAGATCGAGACCATCCTGGTCAACATGGTGAAACCCCGTCTCTACTAAAACTACAAAAAATTAGCTGGGCATGGTGGCGCGTGCCTGTAATCCCAGCTACTCAGGAGGCTGAGGCAGGAGAATTGCCTGAACCCAGGAGGTGGAGGTTGCGGTGAGCTGAGATCGCGCCATTGCACTCCAGCCTGGGTAACATGGGTGAAACCCCGTCTCAAAAAACAAACAAAAAAAAAAGAATGGGGAAGGAGTGATGGAGAGAATGATCCAGGTAGAGGAAAGCTTTCAGGCATGAATGTTCAGCACCTTTTCAGGGAACAACAAAAAGTTCTGTAATGGTTGGATTAAAGGGTGCATGGGGCTTTAAGGGTGGTGGACAGGAATGATGGACAGTGAGGCTGATGAGATGGGCAGGGTCTCATCAAGAGATACTCTCTAGGCTTAGCAAAGGACCTGTAACTTTATCTGGATACTTTTTTGGGGAGGCAGGATGTGGCATCAAAACCTGTGTGTAGACGACTTGCACTGATCCAAGGGAAGGGCACTGATGCTGAGCTCAAGCATTGCTTTGTTGTTCCCTGATGAGCTCTGTGGGCTTGGGAACAGCCGCTTGACCTCTGTGTCTAGTAAAGGAAAGGAGCGGATCCAGGTCCTCTCCAGCTCTATCTATTCTCCTGTGAATTCTGGCACATCCTTTGACTTTTCTTCCTTCCAGAAAAGGTGGCCATTAAGATCCTGGACAAGACTAAGTTAGACCAGAAAACCCAGAGGCTGCTATCCCGTGAAATCTCCAGTATGGAAAAGCTGCACCATCCCAACATCATCCGCCTTTACGAAGTCGTGGAGACCCTATCCAAGCTGCACTTGGTGATGGAGTATGCAGGGGGTGGGGAGCTCTTCGGGAAAATTAGCACTAAGGGGAAGCTCTCTGAACCAGAAAGCAAGCTCATCTTCTCCCAGATTGTGTCTGCTGTGAAGCACATGGTGAGCAGGGGTAACAAGTAAGAACCTTGCTCCCATTTCACCCACACTGGGAGCACAGGGCTTTCGGTTACCAACCACTAGGTGTCCCAGAGGGCTTTTGTCCCACAAAGCAGATAGTAGTCCCTTTGGAGAGCCAGAAGTCTGGCTGGGATACTCCTTGCCTGTGAAGCAACATCCAGGGATGTCCAGTTACATGGCAACCTCCTAGCTTCTAGCTTCTGCAGACGTTGGCGGGAATCACTGGGAGCAGCTGATGAACATCACCCACTCCCTGGCATATCCATTTCTCCAACCTCATCTTCCACTATCTGGATAGCTGGCTCCTCACTGCTTCTTGGCTTTGCTCTCCTACTTTTGTCTAGGATGCCCTGGTGTGACATCTCACTCACATTCTAAATCCTATCCATACTTCATGTCCAGCTCGGTTCTCTCTCTCTCTCTTTCTTTCTCTGTGTATGTGTGTGTGTTTGTGTGTGTTTGAGAGAGAGGAAGAAAGAGAGAGGGGAAGGAGGGAGGGAGGGAGGGAGGGAGAGACAGGGAGAAATCAGTTACACTGATCTTTTGCCTTCAGTAAGACCCCCTAGCTCTTACTACCTCTGTGCCCAGTAGATTAACACTTGGTCATGCCATTCTTTCTTTCTGTCTTTTTCTTTTTTTTTCTTGAGACAGAATCTTGCTCTGTCATCCAGGATGGAGTGCAGTGGTGTGATATTGGCTCACTGCAATATCTACCTCCCTGGTTCAAGTGATTCTCCTGCCTCAGCCTCCCAAGTAGCTGGGATTAAAGGCATGCACCACCACACCTGGCTAATTTCATATTTTTAATGGAGATGGGGTTTCACCATGTTGGCCAGGCTGGTCTTGAACTCCTGATCTCAGGTGATCCACCTGCCTCAGCCTCCTAAAATGCTGCGATTACAGGTGTGAGCCACTGCACCCAGCCAGTTGTCTCATTCTTATTTTAGTTCTTTGGTTATTTCTTCAGATAAATCTGGACTCCTAAATCACACTCCATAGTTCCCCCAAGCACTGGCTGTTTTGCTGCCTCCCTATTTTGGGCCATATTCTTGGGCACACAGGAGGAACTTGACTTGCAGACCTGACCACCAAAACTTTTGGTCAACCACTCTTCTTACTCGGATCCCAGGGTCTGTCAGAAAAAACACTTAGTTGAATGAGTCTGTCAGAAAAAAGACACTTGTCTGTTAGTTGAGAGG